CCTTCAAATTTCATAATTTATTTTACATCACACAATATCACTCTTACATAGCCAACTTCCTCTCCTCCTCGGAGTAGAAGTTTGGCAAACTTTGACAAGATTTTGAGTGTAGTCCTTAATATATATTCATCTCATGGCGAGCTTTCATAAGAATATGAGCATGATCATGATGTATATGTTCATAATCTTGTTAGTAATCCAACAACAGCCGTTCGTATTGGTAGCAAGTGCAAGGCCTCCTCCTACACATGATGGTGTCAGTTACATACAAAAACCTCCTTCGATGAAATTGATTGTTAGGTCGCATCCTCCCATCATAAGTGGTTACAAGGTGAACCGTTACAAAAAAATTGAGACAGAGGCTTTTCGACCAACTGTGCCTGGGCCTAGCCCAGGGGCAGGGCATGGAGGACCACCAGGTTCACATTGAAGATATTTTTTTGCATGAAAAAAATACAAAAAAAAAATAAATTTACTTCTCTAATAACAAAGTTTTTTTTGGCTTTATTTATTCATTAGATTTATGCTTCAGGTTTGTAGTTTGAATTTAGGGTGTGAGATAATTGTATACGAAAGTGGCTTTAGTAATTGGTATACCCCATGTAATCATTGGCCTCATAAGTCATAACCCATGCATGCACTAGTATATTTGTATGTGGCATAGTAATTGCATTTCTTATTGTGAATTTGCTAATAGGCTACATATATTAATATATATGCCTTTAATTATGCGCATGCAAACTCTAGTTCAATCTCCTTTCCTTCGTTCCTTCTTATTTTTATTTTTATTTTTTTTATATTTATATTACATTAACATTGTTTACTAGTATTATCAATTGTTATGTTAATTGAAAGTTAGGTGTGAAAGGAGATAATGTTTTAATTTCTTTTATTAAAAAAGTAGATGTGACAAGTAAGTACTTTCTAATCAATGTGAGAGAATGTCATATTGTAGTTTTGTTAAAGCATTCATATGAAACATTTATTTTAAAAAATTATAGGTTTTTTCTATAATAAAAGTGTTAAAGTGTAATTATAGGTTTTTTCTATAATAAAAGTGTTAAAGTGTAACATATATACAACAAATAAAAAGAGAAAGTGTAATAATAATTGAAACATAGTTTTATTTGTTGTTATTGTATTTGCTATTTTTAATAATCTTTATTATATATGTCTTATGACTTTTCTATTACTGAATTAATTTTTCTATATACAAAAATTCCAATATTGGATTCAAATTTTGAAGAATGGAAAGTGATTGAATAGAGCTCGATGCAAATTTGAATCACAAATGAGTAATTCAAAGTGCTCGATACAAATTTGAATAACAAACAATCAATCTAATAGTGCTCGATGCAATCTCAATAGAAGGTATTATGTAAGACCGGACTACTCACCATTAGTCTTTTTTCAACATAAAATAAATCATCAATACTTTTATTAATATCTGAATCAACACCATTTCAAATCAATATCCTATATCAACACTTTAATATTTAATATCAGCATTTTAATATCTGATATCAACATTTTATCATCTCATATATTATATATTGAATTATTTAAATCTGATTTTGATGTATTTGTATATCACACACTCTTTCTCCTCTCTCTCCCCTACCTTCTCTACTACAAATAACAATGGATCAGAGTCACACAATGCAACGAAGAAACCAATACTAAATTACTTGACGAAATCGACTCATTAAAAGCTCAAAAAACCTAGCCTACATTAAAGCTCGAATTTCTACCCGTATTCCTTCAATCTGCAAAATTTCCATGAATCACTACTAGAAAACAGTTAATCAACAACGGAAAAAATCCGTCGGAAAACCCAGAAATTCCGTTGGAAAGCATTGTCGGAAGACCTTTTGTAGGTATTTTGAGATATTGCGTCGGAAATTCCGTCAGAAGAGACCTTTCCGACGGAATTTCTGACGGATTTTGTTCTATCGGCGCTTTTGTTGACTTTAAGTTAAATTCCATCGCAAGGTTCCGACGGAATTTCCCGTCGGACTGGGATATGTTCCGACGGAAATCTCTGTCGGTTGGGAACCTCTTCCGACGGAAAATTCCGTCGGAAAAGTGAATAAACAAAAATAAAAAAAAACCACCACAATCCCCACCCAGAACCACCCTGGCCACCAGCCCACACCACCCACCACGTCTTAGACACCCCCATCCCACCCCTGACCCACCCAGAACCAGATCCACCCCATCCACACACCCAACCCCCGCCACCAACCCACACCACCCACCACGTCCCAGACACCCCCACCCCACCCTTGACCCACCCAGAACCAGACCCACCCCACCCACACACCCTACCCCCGCCACCACCCACCACCCACCCACCCACCCCACACAGATCTACAAACCACCTACCACCCACCCACCCACCCCACACAGATCTACAAACCACCCAAACCACCCACCACCCACCTCGCCAGATCTACAAACCACCACCACCCACCTCGTCATTCCACACCCTCCCAAACCACCACCGAATTCGACCCAAAAAACCCAGAAAATAAACCCAAAAAAACCCGAAAATTTCAAAACAAGAAAACCCAGAAATTCGAACCACAAAAAACCCAGAAATAAAAAAAAAACGAAAAAAATCGACCCAAAAAATCCCACAAATTCGACCCAGAAAACCCCGAAAATTTCAAAACAAGAAAACCCAAAAATTCGAACCACAAAAAACCCAGAAATTAAAAAAAAAGAACAAATTCGACCCAAAAAACCCTGAAATTTTCAAAACAAAAAAACCCAGAAATTAAAAAAACTCGAAAAAAATTCGACAACTTACCTTGAATTTCATCAAACCCCTTAATTAGCTTGAATTTGGGTTTTAAATGTCAAATTCGACCATGAAAACTCTAGATCTAGGGTTTTCATGGTCGAATTCGACATGAAAAACCTTGAGAAGGCGGTGGTAGTGTGGTGGTTGCACAACGACGGTGGTGCTTGGCGTTGGTTGCGCGAAGGAGAGAGAAAAGGAGGAAGGAGAAGGAGGAAGGAGAAACAAAGGAAGGAGAAGAAGAAGAGAGAGAAAGAGAGGGCGAAGGAGAGAGAAATGAAGGAAAGAGAAGGAGAAGGAGAAGAGAGGAGAAAGTTCATTAAAGTGCTGGTTTTTTTTTTATATATATTATAAAGTTCCGACGGATTTTTCCGTCGGAATGTATGGGTTTTCCGAGGGATTATTCCGTAGCAAAATTCCGACGGATATAAATTCCGTAGGAAAACTAACGTTCCGACGGAATATTCCGTCGGAAGCCTAATATTCCGAGGGAATTAATTTCCGTCGCAAGAATTCCGAGGGATTTTTCCGTCGTAACGACCCTTTTCCGACAGAATGTTCCAACAGATCCGAATTCCGTCTAAAAGTACGGATTTTCCGACGGAATTTAGGTCCGTCGGAACGATTCCCACGGAAAACGGCCTATTTCTAGTAGTGAATTTCGTATTGTCGAAATTGAAGAGAGAGAATGCCCGACAGCTTGACCTTTAGGAAGATCACGCCTCTAAATAAAAAAAATTATTAATGGAAAATAACAAATTACTCAATTGGAGCACTTGAAGAAGGATCATAGCAAATTCCTACTCAGCAGCTAAGGGTGAAAGTTCAAATTGCAGTTTGGATTTTATTCAAACCGAATTAATTCGGTTTTGGATTTTTGAAACCGAATCCAAACCAAATTAATTCGGTTTTGTATTTTGGAAACCGAATCCAAAACAAATTTGAATTCAATCCAATCCAATACAATCCAAACCGTATTAATTTGGTTTGGTAGATTGAATTCAAACCGAATCGAATTTTGTTGGGCCTAAAATTTGAGCCTAATGTTTGGACCTGTTGTTTTGGGCCTAAATTTTAAACCTGATCACATGACAAAAGTAACAATTTAAAATAAAAGACTTAATCAATGTCTTGAATTACAGCAGTACATACTAAAGGTCTTCACCATAAGGCCTGATATTGGCCCAATTTAGCAAATAACATAATTAAAAAAAAACTGTCCATCTATTAAAATCCAAGTTACAGACAAAAAAATAAAATAAAAAAATTGTCTTAAAATGCAATAAAAGTAGCACTACAACAACTTTGTATAAATCCCAACATAGCAGAACATCAACTAAGCAAGATAACAACTCCAGTGAACATGGCAGAACAACAACTCAGCAATCCAATGAACATAACTAGATCAAGAATTAGTTCAAATAAACCTAAAATATAACTAGATTAATTCAAGCAAAATAAATAGCAATTACCATATTATAAAGAAAAAGAAATTTGGGAAAATTTAATCAAAATTCAAGCAAAATCAAAATATAACAACCAAATCCATCCCCCAACAGATTTTTCATCACTACAAGAAAACAACTGGATTTCGACGGAATTTTTCTGTCGAAAACATCAGGAAATTCGTCGGAAAACAACCTTCCATTAGAATCAGCCTGTCGCAATACCCTTTGCAGGAAATTCCGATGGAAATTCCGTCGGAAGCCACTTTTCCGACGGAATCCATTCTGTCGGAGCTGGTTTTGACTTTAAACAAGAGTCCGTCGCAATTTTCCAACGAAAATAATTCCGTCGGAAAAGGTCACATTCCGACGGAAAAATTCGTCGGAATCTTCCCTCTTCCGACGAATTTTTCCGTCGGAACATGTCCTTTTCCGACAGAATTTTCCGCCATAATAGACATATACCGACGGAAAATTCCGTCGGAAAAGGACATGTTCCGACGAACTTTTCCGTCGGAAGTGGAGAAGATTGTGACGAATAATTCCGTCGGAAGAGGAGAAGATTCCGAGGAATAATTCAGTCAGAAAGTAAGAGCTTTCGGCGGATTTTTTTCTGTTAGAATTGGTCCTGTTTATTTAGCAAATTAAACGATTTAATTTGGATTTACCACTATTCGTCACCTATATCTCCTGCACCTAATTTAAGATATATTTGAATTTATGATTTAATTACGAAAATATTTTTATATATTTATTTATAATAATGTATACATTGTGTGCAACTATACAACATAATCTAAATCTAAATACATGTACATACTATATACATAAATTCTAAGCTACAGCCGAAGTACCTTGCCCTGCACCGCCGCTACCCAGGTCGTTTGTGGGGTCTCGACTCTGATGTGGAATGTTATAACATGGGTCGTTGCTGGAGAATCGACGCATCAACTCATCATACCTCTCTTGGTTTCTCCTTTCTATTTCGGCCAATCGAGCCTCCATCTCGACTTCCATTTCACTCCGCATAGCTTGCACCCTCTGTTCCACCTAATCCTGCATCTGGGAAAATATGGAAGGTGTGTACTGCTGGGAAGACTTGGAACCTAAACCCTTCCTGTTTCCATAATACAGCTCTGCACCTTAGCCAAGTCCCTTCACACGACCCTTCTTGTTGCAACCACCTACAGTTTCCCAATACAGCTCATTTGGACTCTTCCAAATCCTTTGGGTGCTTGCTTCTTCAACTTTCTTCTGGTAGGCCTCCTACAAGATACACATATGAAAAGGTGCACACAGATGTAAGTTAAAATAATCTTTTTGAACAAAATAGAAACAAGTAAGGCCTATATGACCTATTCTTTGCCCATTATCAACATTTCTTACCAAATGAACCATTTGTTTCTCATAACATGTCTATTATAGTTAGTTTTAGGATTACATGCCTTGAAATCACAAAAAAAAAAAAAAAAAAAACCAACTCCCTAAGTTTTGGGAATGATTTGGACCAAATTCAACATGCCTTGAAATCACAAAAAAAAAAAAAAAAAAAAAACCAACTCTTTAAGTTTTGGGAATGATTTGGACCAAATTCAACCAAGTGAGGCATATATGACCTATTCTTTGCCTATTTTCTACATTTCTTACCAAATGAACCATTTCTTTCTCATAACATGTCTATTATAGGTAGTTTTAGGTGAACATGCCTTGAAATTACAAAAAAAAAAACCAACTCCCTAAGTTTTGGGAACGATTTGGACCAAAATAGAACCAACTAAGGCCTATATGACCTATTCTTTGCCTATTTTCTACATTTCTTACCAAATGAACCATTTCTTCCTCATAACATGTCTATTATAGGTAGTTTTAGGTGTAAATGCCTTGAAATCACAAAAAAAAACTAACTCCCTAAGTTTTGGGAACGATTTGGACTAAAATAGAACCAACTGAGGCCTATATGACCTATTCTTTGCCCATTTTCTACATTTCTTACCAAATGAACCATTTATTTCTCATAACATGTCTATTATAGGTATTTTTAGGTGTTCATGCCTTGAAATCACAAAAAAAAAACCAACTCCCTAAGTTTTGGAACGATTTGGACCAAAATATAACCAACTAAGGCCTATATGACCTATTCTTTGCCTATTTTCTACATTTCTTATCAAATGAACCATTTCTTTCTCATAACATGTCTATTATAGGTATTTTTAGGTGTACATGCCTTGAAATTACAAAAAAAAAAACCAAAATAGACCAAAATAGAACCAACTAAGGCCTATATGACCTATTCTTTGCCCATTATCTACATTTCTTACCAAATGAACCATTTGTTTCTCATAACATGTCTATTATAGTTAGTTTTAGGTGTACATGCCTTGAAATCACAAAAAAAAAAAAAAAAAAAAAAAAAAAAAAAAAAACCAACTCCCTAAGTTTTGGGAACGATTTGGACCAAATTCAACCAAGTGAGACATATATGACCTATTCTTTGCCTATTTTTTATATTTCTTACCAAATGAACCATTTCTTTCTCATAACCTGTCTATTATAGATAGTTTTAGGTGGACATGCCTTGAAATCACAAAATAAAAGCAGCTCCCTAAGTTTTGGGAACTATTTGGACCAAAATAGAACCAACTGAGGTCTATATGACCTATTCTTTGCCTATTTTCTACATTTCTTAACAAATGAACCATTTCTTTCACATAACATGTATATTATAGGTAGTTTTAGGTGGACATGCCTTGAAATCACAAAAAAAAAAACCAACTCCCTAAGTTTTGGGAACGATTTGGAAAGTAATTCATGAAATTAATCAAATAAGTTCAAATCCTAAGTGTTATTGAAGTTATTACCGCAATATGCTGTGCTTTGGGGTTGGCTGGTACTGTGCCTTTCCCAGGCACTTCCTTGAAGTGCATCTTCAGGAAAAGCTCATGAGCTGTTGGGAGCTGGTCTTAATTCTCCGCCGCCTTTGATTATACATGTAGAAAATGATAAACGAACCATGTTAGAGCACCTTTACATAGTAATACACAATTCTATTCTATTTTACCTGCCTATTCAACAAACTTACCATCCGTTTAGCATGTTGTACAGCTGACATCGAACCCTGATAGTCGGTAGATTCAACCGCATTTTCCAATGAATCGCCCCTCCTGTTCTTCTTGTTTTGGGCTGACCTCTTCTTGTAACACTAGACGAAAAAGGTAATTTGGCACCGGTTCAAACCCCCCCTAAGGCCCCGGTTTTGAACCGTTGGGGATTTGAGGGATGCCAAATCCTCAAAAATTTGGCGCCGGTTTTGAACCAGTGCCAACTAAAGGCTTCGGCATCGGTTAACCAGTGCCAACTTCAAACGCGCGAATTTTTTTTTTATTATCAACACTATTGGCACCGGTATTAGGCAAGAACCGGTGCGAAAAACTGCACTTTAGGCATCGGTTCTTGGCTAAAACCGGTGCCAATAGTCTCAAAAAAAAATTTAAAAAACTTTTGGCACCGGTTCTGGTACAAACCGGTGCCAGAAATACCCCAAAAAAATAAAAAATAAAATTTTTTTTTTGCATTTTTTTCACTTAAATTGATATAGAAACATTAACATGTATATAAACTTACATATTTTCATTAAAAAAGGCTATAAAGCCTGTAATATTACAATTTTCGTCCCAAAAAAAATTAAATAATCCAGACTTATCTCTGATCGACCTTTCTTGCATTACACTTAAAACAGGGACCGGGACAACACCTAACACAAAGCCAAAACTACGGAGAACAAAACAAAAAATAGCAGCCCAAAAAGACTTCCTGAAATGTGAGAAGTCCTGCGTGGTGGAATGCACGAGTTATATTATACAAGGTTTCCTGAAATGACTTGGATTAGTACTACAGTCTCATATGAGTGATTTTAAGATTATGCACTCAAAGTAAAAGACTTATTTATTAAATTGGTATTACAAACTTAGAAAAAACATTAATATTAGGCAATCAGATAATATTTATTAATGTAATAGACTTGTAAACTTCTCAAACTTCATCCCTGAATAAGTTTTCTTATTTAACAACACCAGCTTACCTGGCTATTTTCACAAAGTCGCAGATTGTTGTAAAGGAAAGCTAAGCCTTGTGCAACACACTGATGCTTGTTTTTGAAGTCTATGTCCAAGGGCTAAATTGATTAAGGCAGTCCCTGCAAAGTAAGATGCATCAGTTAAATGGAGAATCAACACCAGCACACTCACATTAATCAGATTCGGATAAAGATAAACATAAAACATACCGACACAGAGATTGGTCAGTGGGGAATTTGGCATTTGTTTATGCGCTTCCAAGTATTCCCTTGCAGCTACTTGGTGTTGACTGATCATTGTAAACTGATTTCCAGAAATGATCATGGGTGGCACTAGATCCTTATGTTCAACTCGCATATGATGCAGAAACTTATTATGCTTTGAGAGACGATTCTCTAACCTAAAGCCAGATGAACAATAGTAAGAAATATTATAAGATAGTTTCAAGTTATAAGGCAGACCATAGCAAACCAGCAGGGACAGAAAAAACAGAAGCTCTGAGCAGGCACAGGAACAGTCAAACAACCCTAGCACACTGACTAGCTTAGCATCACAGTAGAACACAGCCTGCAGCAACACACAATAGACAAAACGGGTACACTCAGTTGGTACTTGGGTCTTGCACATCGACTATTGCTCGTCCTGTACTTTTAGCCACTGTTAAGGTTGGTCCACTAGGCGAAAAAGGAAAAAAGGAAAGGGTTAAGGTAGGGAAGAGAGTTGTTGATGAGCTTATAGGCAATAATTTGACAAGGGAAAGAGCTTATAGGCTTGTGCTTTCTAGGCTTGTGTTTGCTAGAAGAGTGCTATAATTTCAAAATAAAGCTCTTTAGTGAGTGATGATCAATGAGTGAGAATCAAAGCTTCCTACCTCTTGCTGTCTTGCTTTAATACTTGTATTATGTTGTAGGCCATTATGACTAGCCTTATTTTAGATCAAAATCCATACTTTATCTTCACATTATTTTCAAACAACCTAAACAAACCGCCTACGCTTATTAGGGTGTAATATTACAACTCACATATCAAAAATCATAATGTGTAGTGACTTCATTACATCCGCTGTGAAAAAATAAGTATATATGGTGTTGTTAGTCTATTATTCAGTGACAACACTTTAGGGATACAAGTGAAACTATTATTCTAATAGTTTTTTTCCCCTAAATTTTTCTAATGCCAAGTAACCAGCTCATCAGAGAAATGAAAACTCTTCAGTTAACCTTGCACACTTTTAAAGGCACAAAACGAGAAGGTGAACAAACAGAATTTTAGGAGGGGTACCAGTTATGTTGCTATCCCTTAGTACATCAACCAAAAGGGCAGGACCTGTAATAAAAAACAAACAACAGCAATAAGCAATTAAATGATCAACAATATCTAATCATTAGCCAAATATCCAAAAATCAAACAAAAGCCAAAAACTATCAATTCAATAAAACTAACATTTTATGAGATAGAAGAATAACAAGCACACCATCATCTAGCTAAACATAATAGCAAATACCCATTAACTCTAGATAATGATGTAGTCTGACTCGATCTCAGGTCTTGAGTAAAACCACTACAAGTCTATGACTTTATCAAATAAGCCACTTTACCTGATAAGCTAGCAGTCAACCAGAAATAGAAATAACACGGAACTAAAATCATTGATCCAACAAATAATTAATTTCCAATTAAAACCCAGCAGAAAAAACAGAAGCTTTGAGCAGGAACAGGAACAGTCAAACAACCGCAGCACACTGACTAGCTCAGCATCACAGTAAAACATAGCCTGCAGCAGCACACAATAGACAAGACAAGAGCTAGAGAAACAACAACTCAACCCAGCAGATAGAAAAGACAGACTCAAGGCATGAATCAAAGCTAAACAGACTCCAGAACACACGCCAAATCCAGAATTCAGCAAGGCACACAGAGAAGAAACAGACAGAAAACCAGGCCAGCAAGAAAAACAAACACCAATTCTTGTAGAAATCAATTTGAGGGTAAAAGTCAATTTGAGGCATTTATATTGAAACATGTGGATTAACGAGTAGAAATCATATAACAATTGATTTAACCTACACCTGTAGTTATTAAAGAGGAAATAAAAGTTAATAATCATGAGTTGGTATATCAGATTATCAAGGGTATATTGTTGATCATTTCATCAATGCGATATGCAAAGTATGATTTGCATCATAAATACCAAAGTTCATAGTTAATTAAAACCAACTTTACGCAGCATTAAACCTACAACAAATCAGTTATATGATTTAATGATTCTATCAAAGATTTAATTCACGTAAAATATAATTCTCTCTTGAAAGAAGAAAGTTGCCAAGATTGCAACTCCCCCATCTACCCATATGCATTTAATATAATTTTCAAACACATTTAGAAGATTAGCCTCAAGAAAGTAGCAAATAACAGCAGAATTTACTTCGTTTTCAATATCTTCAACCTCAACTTTAGCTAAATTATCGTATTCTGTGTTCTCAGAAATTTTATGCGAATTGACATCTAAATTCATATTACCACAACAAATTTCAAACAGCAAAAACAGGAGAAACAGAGTAGTTACCCATACTAATCCCAAGATAAACTCTGCATTCAATAGAACTATATAGTATCTATATGGTACCAAGTACCAACATTGATTTTAAGTCTTCAAAATCCTATTTATAACGACCGAGGTGCTGCTACGGTGCTACCAGAAACTCTAAGACATAGATAAGGAAATAAAACAGAAAACCTTTTTCGTGCAACATCATTACTTGAATTCTATGATGAAGAAGCCAAACAAACACCTCCTTTTCTTCTTCCACCCCAATATATACTTCATTTCTAGAGCTGAAATTGGAATTAATTTTTAACATCAACCCTAATATTTCTACACAAGAATAATTCTTAATTAATAGTTTCAAATTGAAATTTAAATGTTGCCAAGCATTATCAAATGTAGAATTTTATGATCAATTTTAAAAAATATTAATTTGACAGAAATATAAGATTATGATAGATTAATAATACAAAATAAGGAAAAAAATGCAGGAATAAAGAAGAGAAGAGGAGCAAATCCAGGAAAAAAAAACCCAGAAACCCTAACCTCGAATTTCTGATTTTTGGTTCGAAATTGATTCGAATTTGTTGTTATTGAAGACGCACGCACATCGAATTGATTCAAATAGACGCACCCAAAAACCCTAACCTCCAATATTGTAGAAAGAGAGAAGGAGAAGGAGAAGGAGATCGAAAGAGAGAAGAAAGGAAAGGGAAAGTGACGGTTATGGAGAAGGAGATCAAAGGAGAGAGACGGAGTGTTAGAAGAGCTCAGAAGCCCCTTCAATGGAGAAATTCGAGTACGCTACAATGGAGGAGAGAGAAAGGCAGATTAGATGAGAACGAAGAGGAAAGAGCAAGGAAATGAATTGAAGAAGAAGACGCGCCTTAAACCGAAATTTTTTTTCAAATGGCACCGGTTCAAACCGGTGCTAATTACTATAGTTGGCACCGGTTTAAGGCGAACCGGTGCCAACTTTATTGCTTTTTTTGTTTTTTGTTTTTTTTTTGTTTTTTTTAAGGTTGGAACCGGTTTGAACCGATGCTAATTAAATGATTTGGCACCAGTTTTGGATGGAACCGGTGCCAACTCCCTATTTTCCAATCCCGCCCATTTCTTATGGCACCAATTTTCAAGAACCGGTGCTAAAGGGGGGGTGCCTATTTGATTTTTTCTACTAGTGTAAGTTGGATCATTGGCAACAATATCCATCATTTTCTTGTGAACGTCCTCATTGAAACAGCTTATCTTGGCGCCTCTCATCTTGTACGTGACTATGTAGAACATGTCACGTAGCCGAGTAGCACACTTCTTTTCAAAAGTGTGCTTCAGATCCTCGGTCAATTGAGGTGCCCATGTGAATTCTTTCTACAAATGATAAACTTTATAAGTCATATACTCAACTTCATCTCATACTTTTCATAAAACATGTATTAATTAAGTTTAAAATAGCTTACGCTGAATAAGTTCCACCAGTGTTGCTTCGTTGCTTAATCCACCTCTCCATAATTCCTCCAAGGCTCTCGATAGTACCCGGTTAGCGTCCCGGAGACCGCATTCCTCACCTTGTTATCGTTAAACCTACATTTAAAGACGAAACCAAGAAGTTAGATGATCATCAACAAAAAGTAATATAAAACTTGTTAGAGGTAATAATTAGGTTAATTTCTCAAAGTTAAGAATGTAAAACCAATTCATTGAATGTATGTACGTACCAGAGCACAGTAGGGTCTAATACCGGCAACTGTGAATGCTGTTGTGACTGATCTCGTGATGTGCTGGAAGTGGGCTCCTGAGTACCACTCAAATCATGTGCATCTGCTTCCACCATGTCCTCATCGGAGGAGTCGGCCACCATTGATCGTTTACCTTAATCTTTACCGCCAGCCATGATCACTTGAAATAGTTGTTAATAACATGACAACATATTATAAGTTACAAGTGTAGTACAATGTAATAAAATTTTAGCGTAAAAGTAATGATTTATTATAGGACTAAGTTAATTTTTGATTTTACAATAACAAGCAAATTCAACGAAGGAGAGTTAACATATTATCCTATTCATTAATGTCATCACTACAATCACTACTGGAATCATCACTACTATCATCTAGTAATACATCGATATCATCATGCTCGTCACTATCACTAGAATTGATGCTAGATTCATCACCTTCATCACTTGAGATAACAAAACCATCGTCATCATCATCATCATCATCTACGACATAGTCTGGAATATCATTCGGTGGGCAAAGCGTTGCATGTACTTGTGGGGATGGTGCCTGCAAAAACTCTAAGTCCACCGGAGCATCAACCACTGATCTTGCCTGTGTTTTAAAAACAGCCCACCATTGTACTCGATCCCGTTTCGGGCTAGGGTATGATGCGTAGTACACTTGAGTCACTTGGTAAGATAAAGCAAAGGGATCGTACTTGGGGTATTTCCTAGTATGATTGATTTCGACAAGCTTGTACTGTTCATGTATGGTCATTCCCCTACCACAATCCATCCAACTACACTTAAGCAGAATAGTCTTGTACTCTTTTTTGAGACCAGTGTAGACCAGTTCAATAATGTCATCTAAAATGCCGAAGTACTCTCCACCATCCTCACTTGATACACACATGCCATAATTTATCGTAGATTTATGCTAGCCATGGGCATGTGTATGGAAATTAAAGCCACCGACAAAAATCTGCTTCCAAGTTCGAACACACTTGAAAGGGAGCATGCACAACGCTCGCAGCACATCCGAATTTAGTTCCTCTTCAACAACCTATCAACGTTTTGAATATAACCGTCACACTTCCCTAATTAAGTAAGCTGAATAGCAAGGAATAGAAAATCATAATTATGTCACGGTTAGACAGTTTATATCACCTTGCGATGAAACCAATCAGAGAATTCAGTTTCGCATTTCTCCATTACTTCTTCTCTACGCAGATAAGGTCGAGTACTAAGAATGTAGTCCTCGAACTTCCTACGAGGCCAAAAGTAATGTAAATCAACATTGTAATCATTTTAGTTATTCATAGCTTTGAACACACTTCATTCCTAAACATATTATACCTTTCATATTCACCAAGAATGTCGGTGTTTTGTAACACGAACAAATGAGCGCACTCGAGTTCTTTTTCATCTAAAAATCGAGTTTTGCCCTATATGACACACGACCGCTATCTTCCGTGAACAACTCTGGAATTTCAGCGTCGTCCACTGTGGAGTCCACGTCGACATTCACATTTCGACCGAGATCTCATGTTTTAGTGTCAACCGTCGCCTGAAAGTAGTTACTGCAGAAGTTTGCTATCTCTTCGGTGAGATAAGCATTATAAATGGATCCTTCAAATCGAGCCTTGTTTCCAATTTTTCATTTTAAATGATTGAGGAACCTACAATTATAGTTATGTAAATGTATAAACACGATATGACATTGAATCTGATGTAAGAAATAGGATGTGCATGGGTCTTTGATTTACCTTTTGAACGGATACATCCATCTATATTGAATAGGACCACATAACTTCCCCTCATATGGAAAATGAATAGGTAAATGCTCCATGGAGTTAAAGAATGCGGGGGGGAAAACCTTCTCAAGCTTGCACAGGATCTCAGCTATGTTTTTCTCCAATCTCTCCATGTCACTAACTGATGTTGTATAGCAACACAAATCGCGAAAGAATTGGCTGATCTCTGTTATTGCATTCCAAATATGGAAAAAGAGCAATTCCCTCAGAGTAGTAGGCAACAACCTCTCCATGAACACGTGACAGTCATGGCTTTTCATTTCGTGTAGCTTACATGCTTGCATATCTACACATCTGCTCAATTTGGAGGCGTAATCATCGGGAAATCGCAGCTGTTTAACCCACTCACACAAAACTTTTCTCTGAGCCTTGTCAAGAGCGAATGGAGCCCTTGGCATGAACTCTATCCTCTATCATCCTCCTGAAGATGAAGTTGCGGACGTTTACAATATTTGGCAATGTCATTTCGAGCAGATGGCGTGTCACACGTATGCTTTTTCACATCCATTACAGTGTGAATTAACTGATCAAAGAAGTTCTTTTCAATGTGCATGACATCTAAGTTGTGATGAATAAGCAGATGCTTCCAATATGGAAGCTCCCACAGTATGCTTTGCTTGAACCACCCTTTCTTTTATTTTTTGAGGCGTTGAAGTGACTCAGGCCCATCTGTAGCCTTCGAAAGGTCTTTCACACATTCCCAAAGCTCCTTTCCTGACATAATGTGTGGGATGCACCCTTTTCGACTTTGTTTATGCAGAATGCAGTTCTACTATTCCGAAAAGGGTGATCTGTCGAAAGGAACTAGCGCTGGCAATCAAACCAAGAAACCTTATAGCCATGTTCGAGCCAAAATGCTTTGCTTTTCTTCATGCAATATGGACAAGCTTTCTTACCAGATGTGGCCCAACCGGACAACATACCATAAGCCGGGAAGTCACTAACGGTCCATAGGATGGCTTCTCGAAGATTAAAATTCTGTTTCATGGAAATATCGTACGTATGCGCGCCAACTTCCCATAATTGTTTCAACTCCTCTATCAACGGTTGCATGTACACATCCAAGTTTCCCTTAGGGTTTTTAGGACCAGGAACGAGCAACGAAAGGAACATAAATTGTCTTTTCATACACATTGAGGGAGGCAGGTTATAAGGGGACAAAATGACAGGCCAACAAGAATATTGTCCCCCAAACTTGCCATGAGGAGCAAAACCATCTGCACACAAGCCAAGCCAAACATTACGAGGCTCGAAGGCAAACTCTAGAAATCAACTATCGAGGTGCTTCCAAGCTTCACTATCACTAGGGTGTGCCATTGTGCCTTGAACTCGAGGATTTTTTGAATGCCATGTCATTTCCTCCGAAATGTTCTTGGTTGTAAAGAGCCTTTGCAACCTGGGTGTGATCGGGAAATAAAACAAAACGTTCAAAGGCACTAGACTACCCTTGGAAGTCTGCTTGTATCGGTCGCTGCCACACGCCCTACATGTAGACAGCTGAGCATCATCCTTCCAAAACAACATACATCCTTTCGGGCATGCGTGAATCCTTTCATGAGGCAGTTCCAAGCCCTTCACAATCCTCTTCACCTCATAGAATATGTCGGCCATATGGTTGTTGTTAGGAATTGCTTCACTAAGCAAAGAAACAAACCCATCAACACATCTGTGGGGCAGATTATACTCGCACTTTAGACTAGTGATTCCAGCATCCATCTCTAACACAAACAACGAACTCCCTTCGTATAATAGCCTTTTAGAATCCTTCAACAAATCCAGAAAATGCTTAGCTTGTGCATTAGGCTCCTCCTCTGATGAAACACTAGCCTGCTCGGAATGCCCTTGATCCTGACTATGACCAAAAGCATCGAAAACCATTTCGCGATATTCATTGGACCGACGTTCAAGAACTCTCGGAAAACCTTCCCCATGACACATCAACTCATAGTAATTAGGTATAAAACACGTGCGAAACAGATGAATTTGAACCGTGTCTAGATCCCAAAGCCGTTTGTTCTTACACTTATCATATGGACCCCTAACTTCATTCGGGTTACTACTCTCGAGATTATCTTTGACATATTGAATGAATTCATCAACCCCTTTCACGAACTCTGGATTAATACTTTTCCCAACCTTCCTTTCATACATCCAGCTACGTTCTGTTTGTTTCATGATTATAACTTCTACACAACTCACGCATATGTATAAACACATTAGTCATAAAGCGTATTTCCTAGTCATTATCCATCAAAGTGTTATGGAAATGCAAATGAGATTGGAAATGCTTCCAAAGGGTCCTTATCACTCCAACCTAACCCATCCTTGTACGTTTAATCCCACTAGTGAATGTAAGTCAGGTTTTCAATTCTATGGAAAATCCGCCAGCATTTCCCTACAATTCTCCAAGTACACGATGTAGGCGAATAGACACACCTACATATGTACCCAGAGAACATTGTAGAGAAATGAGAAGGCATAATATTCCCTAGAATCAATAACAAGGCATACATTCACCACCTAAGTGAGAATAAATGTAGAAGGACAGTCCCAACCGGGGACTATTCAAGACATACTCTTAACGTGTATACCTTGAACGGGTATCTAGGCATATGATTATGCAAATGATTCATTTAAAAATATATAAACTAAACTAACATACATTATATTAAACAAATATATAATAATTAATCTAAACAAAACTAACATATCATAATATCATAGTATTAAAATAAACCAAATCAAACAAAACCAAACTGCACTAAAATATCATAATATTAAACCAAAATAACATACATTATATAAAACTAAACTAAACTAAGCTACATTATATTAAACTAAACAAAACTAAACTACATTATATTAAACTAAAGTAACCTAACATACATCATATCAAACTAAGCCAAACCAAACTATCATATCATAATATTAAACTAAACTAACATACATTTTATAAAACTAAACTAAATTAAACTACATTATATTAAAAAAACTAAACTAAACTAACATGCATTGTATTAGGTACGGATTGTAATGTGACTAACCTTTAGATCTGCACTTCTTTTTGACAATTAAACCAACTAATTGTACAAATCCTACAAAAAAATTAAAAATAAAAAATAAATAAGGGTTTATTATTATACCAAAATATAATTGAATTGGAAAAAAGGGGAAAAGAAACTCACTATGGGTAGATACAAGCTCAGTGGTGGTTGCACGGAAAGCTTGGTGGAGGCGGCGTCGATGGTGGCTGCAAAATAAGGGGGTGGAGGAAGATTTTTAATGCATTAAAAATTAAAAAAAGGGGAAAATAGGAGGACTTACCGGAACTTTCAGTAGGGGGAAAGGGTGGTGGTTCTGGTCGCGGGGACGGAGGAGGAGGTAGTTTGGTGGAGGTGGCGTCGGTGGTGGCTGCGAAGAGGTAGTACAGTTAGGGTTTAGCGGTACTTTTAAAAAATTAAAAAAAATAAAAACAACAACAACACTAACCTCGCAGCGGCGTCAGGGGCGGCAGTAGGTGGTTCTGGTCGCACCAATGAAGGAGGAACAGGGGTGGCTGTAGACATGGTGGTTTCGGTTAGGGATCCGACTAAAAATAATTAAATTAAAAAAAACAAATTGTACTACACTTACCCAACGGCAGTGAAGGAATAACAGTGGTTGCGGCGGCGGATCTAGTGGTCCTCTTTTTCTCTTCTTCTTCCTCTTTCTCTTTCTCTTTCCCTTTTCTGTTTCTATTTTGATAAAAGCCAGAAGTCAGATAAGATGCATTGTTTTTTATTTATTAGTTCCGACGGAATTAATTTATGTCCGAACTTAGTACTTCCGACGGAATATTCCCTCGAAAGATATTTTTCGAGGGAATATTCCGTCGGAAGTATTAATTTCCGACATAAATTAATTCCGTCGGACAATTTACGAGGGAAATTCCGTCGGAAAGTTGGTATTCCGACGAAATTTTCCGACAAATTATATTCCCTCGGAAAATTCAAAATTTCCGATGGAAATTCTGGTCCGTCGGAAATATGCCTATTTCTAGTAGTGCATAAAGTCGTTTCACTTAGCAAGAGTCTAACACCATTGTTCCAAATTTTAAATTAAAAACAAATTAAATTGAAGTCATACCTTCAAAGGCAAATGACGTAGTGAGAGTCAAAGAATGAGAAAGGGAATGGTGGACCACTAAACCGTCAGAGAAGACTGAGTGTGAGAACGGTGAAGCGATGACTGAGCGGTGGTCGATACAGTGGATGAGTGGTGGTCGCAAGGGAAGTGAAAAAATAGGGAAAAGAGATTAGGGTTGTGAGTGACTGAAAGAGTGAGAATAATGGGAAAATAGGGAAAATGGATTAGGGTTTTTATTTTAGAGGTTTATATATGAAGGGGACATTAGGGTAGGTAATTGGCTTATTATAAATTAGATTTCAAATTTCGGTTTTCGGTTTTTTAAGCCCAAAACGAAACCGATCTGCAATCCATTTTTTTTTTCAAAATCCCAAACTGATCCAAATCGAAGAGTAAAAAAAAAAACGAACCGAATTGTTAATTCGGTTCGGTTTGCAAATTATCCGTGTTACTTTCACCCCTATCAGCAACAATGAAACTTAGCACCAAATCCCTGAGTCAAAGATTGAGTGTAGAGCTTGGAGTGAAAGCTATCTGCATCAATTAGAAAATTCATAAGGTAAAGCTCGAATTTGGGGTAAAAAAATAAGTTTTATTGAGCGAGTTTAAGGCTTTAAAGAATCAAAATAGAGTCTGAATCACAAAATCGGGGATTTAGGGACGAATAAGACGATAATAGAAGAAGAATTGGTTGATTGTAGGCTGCAATGAATTGAAGTTCCTCTTGATGTTGATGTTGATGATGATGATGATGATGAGGCAACAGAGATGGTATTTTGTAGGTCGTTGACTCATTAAGTGTCCAACTTAATGCTTATATGTAGCCCTTATGGTTATATTTATCATTTTCCTTTAAAAAAAGTACATTGGACTAAGCTTGTATAAATGAGCAACATTATATGAACTCGACCATTGCAAATAAACTGACTTTTACTGCCACCATTTATGTAAGTGCATTGATTTGACTAGGAGAGGGAATAGTATGTATGGACTAAAATATATCATGTAAGTGGAGATTGTTGTTGGTTAATAGCTTATAAAAGAGTAAGGGATAGATGTGAAAGATGAGAAATAATAAATACAGTGAAAGTGAGGACAAATTGGAAAATGACTTGATTTATTGATGTTGCATGCCAATCCAAGTTCAAATGCTAAAATTATGCCCTATCTTGTCCATAAAATTAAAGGAAGTGATGTGTTGGAATAAAGAGATTAAAAGTCATATTTCTCGGTTGGTTTGTGGCGTTTCTAGAGTATGATCAGTTTACTCCACAAGTAGGTTGTGGCCTACCACGTGGGCCCACAGGTGGGTTTGGAGTAGACTTTTTCCATGTCTAGATTCACTCTTTGGCTTTCTACTTTTTCTCTTGGATTCCTTGATGGTCTTTTGCTAATCTTATGTAACCCCCTTATGCAAGTGGTTGTTAATTGTGATTAAATCATATTCATTATTCTGATTTAATCACTCATTTGATGGTTACATTTGACTCTTCATACTCCTTGCATTATCTATATATGCATGGCTTGGAATCTTTTAGAAAACATAAGACGACATACTACAATATACTTATCCATAAAGTGCTAAACACATTTCTTCTTCGATCTTTTGGGCACAAATTTATATGGCTCCACCTTTCACCCAAAAGTGTCTTTGAGTGAGAGTGGTGTATAACCTTAGGAAAGGTACCAGTGATACAATTTGCACCCTGGTTGCGCCGGAATTCGTTTTCAAATTCAGTGACAAAATGTCACGCCACACTATTTTCTTTTTGATCAAACAAACACATTATTCTTATATTTTTGTAGCCTTTAAAACACTAATTTTACAACAATTTTGAAAATGAATTATTAATTTTCAATGGCTACTCAATGGGTATTGATTGAAAGATTGTATGGTGTAAAGAAAAATAATTTTTTGGGAAAATTTTATGTTCACGTTTTTCTGGGAGCAGTCCCAAAGATGATCCTCAATCAAAGGTCATTCGTGGTCGGTTTTGGCTGAAATTTTGGGATCTTGTTCAAGACATGCAAGGCTTCATTTCCAATGGTTGGATCGTTGATAGCAGCTCACATTTGGGATTTATGATCACATCTTTGCGCTGCATTTTTAGAGTGGATGTTTGGGCGTATTACAAGAATGCTCATTCACATTTCTTGAATTAATTTAAGGGAGGTCCATTGTAAACCAAATTTTATATTGATTATGTTTAGCTTGTGGTTTAATATCTAATAATCCTCTTGACAAATATATGAGTTGTGATTTTTTGGCATTATAATGTTAGATGATTATTTTATCCATAATGTATTATTTGTTATATGATTATTAGTTTATAGGCTAAAGCATGATTCATGTTATATATGTGTGATATTACATGGTATGATTATTTCTATCTCTTTGTTCTATGCTTGTGATTTGAACTTAGTACTTAGAAATATGTTAATTGGTTTTATTTACCAGTTTGTTGATTTTTTGAACATATGTATTGTTTTGTTCATTGATAAAGTAAATGTTAGACTATTGTTTTAGATTAATTTCTATTAGTAATATGTTGAGGACTTAATGTAGACATGCCTATGTTGATAGATAATTCATGGTTATTTAAGACTTGTTAAATTGTAGATTTTATAAGTTTTACCATGAATTTTGTGTTACGTTTGTGTATGATATCAAAGATTATTATTTTTTAGCAAATATATATGTTGATATGTATATGTCATGCTTGTGGAAATTTTGTTCATGCTCAGTGCTGAATGCCTACATTGCATTTATCCATGATATTTCGTAAACTTGTATTAGTTTTACGATTTCTTGAGTGAGTGAAGGTTTGAATAGAATCATGCAATATTATTTGTGAAGAGTAATACGCTTTGTCCCCTAAGAGTACTATTTATTTTAATGGTTGTTGCTCTTGAGACTCTTAGGTGTGTTAAGCTTCCAAACTCTTGTTGGGTGAAACTTGACTACTATTAGTTATTTTACTCTTGATATTCTTTGGGTGACAATATTTTATTTTTAATGTGTTAACAAAGTTGTGTTAACATTATGACGT